GGACCCTGCACGTCCTCCCCATGAAGTCAGTGCCTGGAGCCGGGATGCCTACCTGGCTGGACTCACTGAGTCCAGTCTTTTCTCCCGCCCAGGCGGGGGGTCGGACTTGAAGATCTACAAGGTCCCTTCGACCCCACGTCCATGATTCTGTGATTCCCTGGTCACACGCGCCAGCCTGCAGCAGGAGCCCGGCTCCCCCCACCTCTGGGGGACATCTGCCTCCCTGGGGACATCATTCAGCCCCCCAGTGACTGGTTCCTACAGCTGGGGAGCCGTGTGCCCCTGCCAGACCTTGGGAAGCTGAACTACCCCCTCCAGCCTATTCCTGGTCCCCAGCTCCTCGAGACACTGGGCAGTGGAGGGGCAGGGGGCTCTGCGGGTCAGGATGGGGTCGAGCCAGGCCTCCCCAGCCGGTGCTGCCCCCTCCTGCTGTTATGGGGGCTGGAAACACTCAGGGCTTCTGGCCTGGTGTGGAAATGTGGTGCTTCTCCCTGGGGACAGGAGCCTGCCCGGCCCCCAGCTCCGGTGCTGGGGCTGGGCCCAACTAGGAGCCGGCCTCCTGCCCAGGCCAGCCAGCTTGGGGTCACGACAGAAGTCAGGGAGGGTGGGAAAGGGGAAGAACCAGGAAACCTCCCAGGAGCATGGCAACCTCCCATCGCCCACGAGGAATTAAGCTATATTGCATTTGCAGCTAATCACCAACCCGAACTTTGCATATGCATGAGAGGGATGAATTATGCATGAGGTGGCAGCCAGCGACAGAGATGGAAGTGTTCAGGGGGCCACGCGGGGTGGCTTTGTGGGATCGGTCGATAGACTTGGTGCTGCACCCCGGGGTCCGTGGGCCTGCAGGGCTGTGGCGGTGGGCCAGCTGTGGGCAGGGGCTGCCCAGGGAGGGGGTATGTTTAGCAGCACGATGCTGCCTTCCCCAAATAGTGACAATAATGGCGTGTATTTATGCGGCGGGTGCCAAACACCAGCCTACGAATGTCTGCCTAATTGCCAGGAGCGGCAGGAGGAGTGAAATATTGTCTATGACTCCAGGGCCTCACGTCTCTGGCACTAGCCTCCCGCGCCGGGCTTCCCCAGGTCCTGCCCTGCCGGGGATCTCGCCCCCCTGCAGAGAGGAAGGGGCACTACCAGCCTGCTGTGGGCCTGGCTTCCCCTGCACTCCTTTTAGCTGGTGCACCCGGCTGGCTGTGAATAATGAGGCAGGCTCTTGATCCTAGCTCCACCGACGGTCGCTGCCAGGCTGAATTATTATTCACTGGGGGATGGCGGTGGCAAAGGGGAAGGCGCCTGCAGTGACCTGCCTGCTTCTCCTGTGTGTCTGGGTGAATGGGCTGACCCCAGGGCCTGCCCCACCTATGACCCCCATCCCGCTGCCCCCAGGGTGTCTGCAGCACAGGGCCCATGAGGGGATGGCATGGGGTTGCCCTGTAGCCGGCTCAGGGAGCAAGCTGTCTCCTGCCCGCGCACGCACACGGGAGCTGTGAGTCTGGCGAGAGACCCACGTGGCCCCTCCTGCCCCACGAAAAGCAGCCGGGACGGCTCCCCACACATCCACGGAGCTTCCCCAGGGGGATCAAAGCAGGACCTGGCAGGGACTGGAGCTGCCCCCTGGGCCACAGCAGCTCCTGCACCCCCGCGGGGGAGTTGCCCCTGCCAGCAGCAGCATGCCTGCCGCCTTGCGGCCTCGGGCTGCCAGAGGGAGGGAGGAGCCCACAAGCAAAGGGGCTGCTCCGCCGAAGGCGCAGCATGAAGTTCGGGCCCAGCTGGAGAGCCCCCGAGAGAGCCGGCACTCCCGGACCTGCTGGGGAGACCCAGGGGACGGGAGGAGGAGGAGCAGTGACATCTCTTGGCCCCCGCTGCTCCCCTTGCATTTCAGCTCAGAGGGAAGCAAAACAGGCTGGAGTCTGAGGGCCTTGGCCCCCAGCGCCCCTCACCCATGGGCCTTGAGCTGAGAGGTGCCGGGCGGGCACCCCCAGAGTGCTGAGGCCCAAGTTAAGCAAGAGGAGAGGCCTGCAGGGACAGCATGGCTCCCTGAAGCCTGCTCCGTGCTGCGAGCCTGGCTCAGCCCCTCTAGTCCCCCCGCCTGAGCTCTCCATAGCCCTCCCCTTGCCATGGGCAGGCCTGGGATCCGTTCTGTACCTGCCAGGCGGGGTCTAGGTCAGCCTACATCCTGCCATGGCCCAGCCTAGACCCCCCTCTCCTCACCCACCCGGTGTCGATGTTGCCCTGTCCTATGTGCCTAATCCAGAGCTCTTCCTCGGCCGGCCAGCTGGGCCCTGGCCCACTCCACGCCTTGGCAGAGCTATATCTAGAACCCTTTATTTCCCTGGGTTCTAGATCGCCCTCGGCTAGACCCATGCCTAGACCCTGTTCTCTGCTGCCTCAAGCCTTGCGCTCTTCTCCATCTCCTCCTCTCCTGCACGAGCTTCCTAGTCGGGTCTTCGCCTGGTGTTGGAGAGCCTCCTTGCAGGGCTGTTTCCGACCCGAGGGCTGTTGTGGGAACGGCCCTGGGAGCGTGATCCTGCAAGGGGGCTCCTGGCTGCAGGATGGGGTAGGGAGAAGGACCTCAATAATGAATGAGCTGTCAGCACTGGGAGGAAATGCGATGCTGGCTCTTGGCTGGAGGGCTGATAGGCATCTATTGATATTCTCATCGTGTGGCTCCGAGCCAGGTGCCCTGTGCATGATGGGTCTGGAGAAAGATCTGGAGGGGGGGTGCAATCTCTGTCCCACTCTCACTTAAAAAGACATTAAGAAGAGAGGAAGCTTGTCGTCCCGGCTGCTGAGGGGTGCAGGATGCGCGGCTGGGGACTGCTCTGCTCAGCCTCCAGGCAGGGGCCTGGCTGCCATCCCGTCTCTCCCCCACTGCCGCGGCCTTGCGCCGGGTGGGGGGAGGCAGCCCGTGGCCCCAGGGACCGCTAGTTTGTCCTGCATGACAGCCAAGGGTCAGGGGTGGACCAGCAAGGAGGGGGCTCTGCTGTGAGCACTGGTGCGGGGGAGCCAGACCCTTACCCGAGTCCCGAGCCGTTCCCCCGGACCCCCCAGCCTTGGCACCGGAGCTGACTCGGGAGGCCAAGCTCCTCCGCCCGGAGCCGGCGGAAGGCAGGGGGAGCAGACAGGGCCGGGGGGGGGATGAATCTCCCCGAGGCCTGGCAGGACCGGCGTGCTTGTACCCGGCTGTGCGTGTGCCCGTGCGCGTGTGCCCGAGCCGCCGTCCCCGAGGGGGACAGCAGCTGCCGTGACATCTTCCTCTGACCTTGGAGCCAGTCTCCCCGGCGAGGGGCGGCTGCCCCCCCGGCAGGTCCCCGCGGGCGCGTGCGTGTGTTGCGGGGGCGCGCCTCCCCTCCCGCCGCCGGCCGGAGAGGGGTC